GCTTTCAGCTTAATGCAGAAATTCCCATCGATTACAAGATTGAATCTCAAATCTAGATTTCGAGGTCTTAGAAAATCACTTCACGAAGCACTGAAAACTTTCCCCAAAAAAGAGGGGTATAGTTTTCCTCCACATCCAGCAAGATTATCTCCCTTGCCTACTCAATATATTTTAGAGAATAACGACAATCTAAGAGTCTCTCCCGAATCATCTCACACGTTTTCGAATGCTGTGAATGGAAAGCGTTTTCTTATTCTCCAAGAAAATCCGGGGAATGTATATCGCAGCGCAAAGTACAGGAAACCGTTGATCAATAGTAGAAATCTCCTTCATCGACCAGGAGATTTAACCAAAATGCGCAATTATATCCAATTCATCACAACTCCCACAGTGGATACGCCTGGGACTTCGTTACTTTTGCATTTCGATAATAAGAGGTACTTGATTGGAAATATTGCAGAGGGAACTCAAAGAGCATGTGTGCAAGGCAAGATCGGATTGATGAAAGTTGGGGAGGTTTTCATGACCGGAAAGGTGGATTGGGCATCGACTGGAGGAATGCTGGGCATGATTTTGACGTTGGCAGATGCGACAAGTACTTCAAGAGAGGCACAGTTCCAGGTTGCAAATGCGAAATCGCAAAAGAAAGGAGGACGCGCTGAGAAACCCGACAAGGCCTTTTTAAATATACATGGAGGAGAAAATTTGACTCATCTACTTGCGACGGCGAGGAGATTTGTTTTCAGAAATGGGATGCCGTTATATACAAACGAGTATCGGCCGGATAGAGAACACAGAACGAATTGGGACCCTTCATGGAGTGATGAAAATATCAAGGTCTGGGCCATGGCTATCAAATCGGAGGGCACTGCGAAGCGTCGTGGGAAGAGAAGTCACGATGAGTTTTCGGACGATTCTCTGGATGGTTCTCTTGCTGAAAAGAGCAAGGAGCTTGAGCTTAAGGAGGCCCAAGAACTCAGAGATAAAGAGGATAATGAACATCAAATACGAAAGTCTGTCGTATCTTCTATGTTCGATTCTGATTGGAAGTTAGATACTCTGTACTCCATGAAGCTCAAGGATGTCAGAATGCCTGCCGCCATCTTTGTTAGAAACTCAGATGGTAAGATACAAAGATATCAAGGACCTAAACCCGGAGGAAATCAGGAAGTTCCCGATATTGAAGTCCTCACTCGGAAACCTTGGCCAGGAGCGCTGGTCGAATCTTTACCTCCGACTAAACCTTCTACCAGTTCAGTCTCATATATCATCAAAAACCATACTCAGCGTGGAAAGTTCAATCCCAAAGAAGCCGAGAGATTGAATGTCCAGAAAGGTGCTGATTATCGAACTTTGGCAGCGGGGAGAAGTGTGATTGCGACCGACGGTACCACTGTCACTCCAGAACAAGTCTTGGGAGTGAGCAAAGAGGGTACCGGAGTTGCAGTTCTTGAAATACCTGATGCCTCGTATATTAAAGGTCTATTTGCACGTGAAGAATGGAAAGCAAAAGAGGTCATGGCAGGAGTTGAATCAATAATATGGATTTTGGGTCCTGGCGTTTTAGCTGACCCCAGGATACAAGAGTTCATGGAAGAGCGTAAAGAACTTGCTCACATCGTCTCCTCCCAAGATAATTGCTCAAATTATCTTGCATTCAGCTCGGCCGCAGCGCAAGCTATTCGTCTGCATCTCCTCGATTCCGAACGTTTCCCAATTCCCGCATTCAGTAATGCATCCGAGCCACCATCCCAGCCTGTACCTTATTTAAAGGCAAAATTAGGAAAAACAATGCTACTCGAACCAAAATTCGAGATTCAAGATGACAAGTGCATTCCTTATCTTGATACAGAGCAGGTGGTGAAGGAAGCAGATTCTGAAGTTCTTGCTTTAGCAAACGAAGCTAGAAAGGAGATTATGAGTCCAGAGTATCAAGCAAAGCTTGATGAAGTTCAAAAAGATATACCATGCAAGGATGCAGAAGTAATTACTCTCGGAACTGGCTCGGCTTTACCTTCAAAATATCGAAATGTTTCAGCTACTCTACTTCGAATTCCAGAATATGGTAATTACCTATTTGACGCTGGTGAGAATACACTTGGGCAATTGAAGAGAGTATTTGGCAAAGACCTACCAGATGTACTTTCGAATCTCAAGGCAATTTGGATCAGTCATCTTCACGCTGATCATCACCTCGGTACTACTTCAGTCATCAAAGCATGGCATGAAGAAACATCCAAGAATGAAGCAACAAGAAATAACAAACTTGCTGTAGCATCAGATCATGGTATGATTCATTGGTTAACGGAGTATTCCGAGGTCGAGAATTATGGATTCGAGAGACTTGAGCTCGTTGAAATGACACCGGCAGTCAATAACCTTTACGAAGAATTCACACCAGAAAAAACGGAAGAATTTGGGCTTTCGTCTATTGAAGCTTGCCAAGTGAGCCATTGCCATGGTGCTTTGGCTGTTGCATTGAATTTTCCCAATGGATTCAAGGTTGCTTACTCGGGTGATTGTCGACCCTCACAAGACTTTGTTAGGATTGGTAAAGGTGCAACGTTGTTGATTCACGAGGCTACATTTGATGACGAACTTCAGGGTGATGCTATTGCCAAGAAACATTCCACAACTTCAGAAGCAATGAATATTGGCAAGGGTATGGGAGCAAGACGTATTCTACTTACTCACTTTTCTCAGAGATATCAAAAGATACCAGTCATGGACAGTGAAGTTACAGATCAAGTCGCCATTGTTGCATTTGATTATATGAGGGTTAAGATATCTGATTTTTCGAAAATAGCGGCATTTAGACCGGCGTTACTGAAGCTGTATGAAGAGAAAGAATAGATTAAGGGATTGAAATGATTACAATTTCACAGTTGCGAAGGACGCCGGGAGAAGCATGGTTTAGGATCGGTTATCACTTAAATAAGGTCTTAGGCAGGGCATATAAGGAAATGTGTTTATATTGTATAGTATTGACAAAGGAAATTCTCGCGAGTGGATTTCTAACAAAAGAAATTTTTACAAAAGAAATTCTATGTTGTGAGAAGGATATCACTCCTCTCTTGTTTCATCCCCCAAAAACTCTCTAATCTCTACTCTCTTCGCTCTAAATCATGAAATCACTAACTCGAGTTTCTCGATCACCGCGCTTACCCTCAGGGCGAGCAACATGTGATTTTCGTGTGAAAGGATTTACTTGAGGGTCAGGACGCCGATGATGTGGTGCGTGCTTTTGTTTGGGTCTATTCTCGTTTTCATGTCTCGTAGTACGAGGAGAAGGTGGCGAAGGTGATGCTCGTGGATTCTCATAATGGCTTCCGCGATAAGCAGGTCGATTGTTTCTTGCTGGTGGATCTGCAAATGGATTTGTGAAACGAGGTTCTTCTTCTTCGGATTCAGATTCGGCGTCGGCATTCTCTGGGGTTCCGACGAGTTGTCGATAGGCGCTGGCGCGCTCTTCGGCTTCAACTCCGGAATAGGAAACTTGAGAAGAGTTGTATTCGCTGCGGGAATAGAGCGTTGTTGCCTTGATAGGTCTGGAAGCGTTGTGAAAAAAGCCGTCGGTGAAGACTACGGTGTCGCGGAAAGCGGCATGGACTCCTTCTGCCGGATGTGAATCATGACTGGATGTGTTTGCGAGAGATGTTCTCGACATCATATTTGCGTAGAAATCTATAATTTCATTCTCAAAATCTCCGTCTTCATCTTTATCATCTTCGGGGTAATCGTGTCCAAGAAGTGTTTGGGCCTCGCTATCTCTATCGAAAGGATTGCGATTTCCAGCCAAGCGTTCTCGTCGAGCATCTCGTCGAAGTGTCTGAAGATGTTTGCGACATCGAGAGATCTCTCTCCCCAGACCTTGAGATTCACGCGTTAAGCCTTCGGAGTCTCCTTGCCATGATGCCCATGCGCGGACTACATCGATCCAGCCATTCATTTGCTTATTCTTCTTTCTGCGGCCCCAGATCGAGGCAAAGAGATCGCGGATGATGGATCGATCGCCTCCGATGGTGGCGAGAATACAGGCTTCACAACCCGACGCTACGCGTTCGTAGCGCGGGTCGCACGGCTGCACTTGATATGCTTGACGATAAAATTCGGGCTGCATCCAGATACTATTGAGCATTTTCATTCGGAGAACGAATTCTCGAACATTGACCGGCAAGTGTTCGAGGGGGACTTCGGCAGTCAGGCGTCGGAGACGAGTGGTGCATTCTGCGGTTAGTTCGAGAAATATCTTGCGGATGAGATGCGGGTTGAGAGGTTTGTGGACGTCGCATAGCACGGCTTTGGTTTCGCCTAGGCGAAGCGAAGATAGGGATGCGGCGACGCGGGAGATGAGGCCGCTGGATTTGGGGTGCAGGAGAGAGGGGGGGGAGGTTTGCATGAGGACTGCTTGATCGCGGAGCCAGGAGTCGGTGGGGAGAGTACCGGGGAGTCGGGTCAAGAGTTGCGTGAGTAGATCGAGAGAGGGGGCGGAAAACTCGTGGAGAGAGTCGCTTGGGGAGGGGATGTTGATTTTTCCCCGCATGGTGGTGCGCGGTTGCGGGAGAAGGGGGTCGAGAAACTTTTGCATGGTTGCGAGGGTTTCGGGATGGGTTGTTTGGGGCTCGGTGATCTGTATTTGAAGGCAGATGGTAATGGTAAGCTGGGTGTGGATGTGGGATGGTTCGGTCTGCTGAATCTCCTATTCGATTCTGGAATTGGAATCGTCTTTGTGCTTTGATAATGGCATTGTTTTGCATTTCTTCTAGAAGATGCATCGCCTTTGTCTTGGTTGTTTGGTACATGATCTTCTTTTTCCTTTGTTGGGGAAGTGTGTTTGGAGGGGAGATTCTCTGGATGCTGAGCATTGTTTCCTCCTGGTTTCTTTGTCTGTTTCCAGATTCTTTGTGGTGAGAATATAACGGACCATTGTTTAAAAGTACTTCTTTGAATTCTTGCTGAAGAAATAATCCCATTGTATCTTTCCTTTCACAAAACAGATAATGAACAATCCCCACAAAGAACCTCGATTTCCTTGTTCTCAAGATATAAAAGCCCCCACCCCCATCTCAATCTTCCTTCCCCCAAATCACCACTCTCCAAGCTACACCCTCACACCCACTCCCCTCCCACAGCAAAAGAAAAGCAAAAATGCCCTTCCACATCCCCCCCTTCCGCTCCCTCTCCCTCTCCGCAAAATCCAAATCCAAATCCAAATCCACACCCACCATCCCCAGCACCCGCACAATCGGCACCCAAACCACCAACACCCGCACCCACAGCTCGCGCGGGACGCAAACGCCTCGGTCGACATACATTTCGTTTCACGAGCAGCATGGGGTGCGACCGCCGAGGAAGAGTGGGCTCCAGTGGTCGGCTTGGTATGCGCTGCTTGGGGGGGCGGTGCTCGGGTGGTTTGGGACGAGGAGGTGGGTGTGGAGTTGGTGAGGTGGTGGGGTGGTGAGGTGGTGAGAGGGAGGTGAGTTTTTAATCTTCTTTTCTTTTCTTTTCTTTTTGAGAGAGAGGGTTGAGAGAGAGGGTTGATCTGATCTGATCTGATCTGATTTGATTTGATTTGATTTGATTTGATTTTTGGGGGTGGTGCGATTTTATTGTTGATCTATCTATGATCGATCACATTTAATAGCATCACCTCTCTTTTTCTTTCTTTTTCTTTTCGCTCATCTTTCTCTAGTGCGTCGATCGATTTCTTATTTCTCATAATATTCACAACCTCGTTAGGTTATAGACTTCCAAATCTGGATCGCTAGAAAATCAACAAGAGAACCCCCCCCCCCCTCAAAAAAAAATTCGTTTCTCCAAATATATACATTTAATAAGTTTGTAAGTTTTATTTCCGTCCCCGTCTTTGCTAATTGTTTTGTAGGTATGTTTTTTCTTTCGTTTTGTTTTGTTTTGTTTTGTTTTGGTTTTTGGTTTTGGGGTTTATATATATAGGTAAGTGGATTTCTCCCTCCTTTCTCTTTTTTGCTAATCGTGTGTGTAGTAGGTATTATTCTTCAGGTTCGTTTTTAATTATTCTTTCGAAGGATGGCTAGGTATGGTAAGTCAATCTCTTCTCCTCGTTTTCGCTGGTTTTATATGAGTAGGTAGGTAGGCATTGTTATTTATTATTTATCTCATACTGAGATGATAATCTCAGGTAAGTTATTCCACCCTCGCTGTTTGCTAATTGAATGTAGGTATTTTTACTCTCATGTTCTAGGATGCAAAGATCTAGGTGAGTCCCCCTCCCCGTTTGCTAATTTTATATATAGCTATCGTTAATATCCTATCCATAAGATACTAATACACATCAGAAACAACAACTCAGGTAAGCCATCTCTCTCCCACTATTCACTAATCGAGTATAGGTATTTTCACTCTCTTCGAATTCACACATCCCTAAGACTAAAGATATAGGTAAGTCACTCTATTCCCCTCTTGCTAATCGAGTATAGGTTTCCTTTTTCTTTTCCTTTTCTCCTCTGTTAAAAAATTTAGGTAAGTCACTCCCATCCCCATTTTCGCTAATTCTGTATAGGTAGTACTATGACAATCTCATTCCTTTAATCCTAAAACAGACTAAAATGCAGGTAAGTCACTTCTTTCCCCCGTCTTGCTAATCGAACTTATAGGTATAACATTACTCTTTACAGACATCCAATTCAGTTATACACTACTATCTAGTTTTAAGAGATGAAATCTAGGTAAGTCGTTCTTCCTTTCCCGTTTTCGCTAATCAAGTATATAGGTTTTTTTTTTCTTCCATTCCCGTTTTCACTAATCAAGTACATAGGTATTATTGTTATTATTATTCTTTTAGTTGATTCGACCTTAATACACAAGACACTGCACAGTTATGAGATAATACTTCAGGTAAGTCACTCCCTACTCCCTTTGTCGCCAATTAAGTTACTAGTTGTATCACCTTCCTAGTCTACGAGCAATCTGAATAGCAACTTTGTCTCCAATCCAGATTAAATCAAGTAAGTCATTCTCTCCCCCTTTAGCTAATTATTTAGGCACATTCATGCTTCCCTCTTGAAATACAAAGACTCATTATGTAAGAGACATTCAGGTGAGTTACTTCGCTTATCTCCTTGAGTTTTAATACCCACGCATATTAGGCTATTTGTTTAAATGTTGCATACACCTCTGGGTGATTGTATCGTTTCCTCCCCACCTCCATCTACTTTGCTACAGGCAAATTCAATTCCATCTGCTTTAAACTTCCTCATATTCTAGTACTAATATTCGGCACAGCCAGATCTAGTGATCAATATACTATACAGGTAAGTAAGTCCCTTCCTTCCTCCCCCCTCTTTTCGCTAACATATCATTCTAGATAAGCAATGTACTCTTCTACGCCGTCCCTCATACCTGAGAGCTCATGATCATAATCATGAGGTACTAGCGTAAGTATATATACAGGTAAGTCATTCCCTCCCTTTTCACTAGCTAACTATACCGATAGCTTCTTTTTCTTTCACTTCTTACTTCTCATGCAAATGAGAATTAGAATGTTAATAATAAAATGTATTTCATAACTAAAAACAAGTCCTTGTATGCGTGTTAGGTGAACTAGATGTACCCGTGAAGTCATCATTAACACGACAATAATATCACTATAACTTGAAAGTTTCGTGATTCCTCGAGATGCCAGAAGGAATACCCTCAACCAAGTAAAGCGTAATGATAACAGTCAACTATACACCACTTATATCTCAATCTCCTCCATCTATATCCCCCAAATCTCAAACCACAATCTCCAAAATACTTATCTCTTATCCAGGGATACAACAAATCCTCGATGATCCCCCCTAACTCACACTAAAAACATACTAAACAAGCAAGCGAGCTTAGGAAGCACATCTTAAGCTTCTAGATCCTTTCTCAGTCCACTTACTAGATACTTTTTGTCTTTTATACATTCTTATCTCTTATCCATATATGCAGCAAATACCTACTTATAGATAGGTGAGTAATCTCTAACGAGACTGGCTCAGACGATGAATCTCATTTTTTCGACTACTTGATTAGCATTTCTAATTGTTCGATAGCGATACATCTCCCCATCGTCTTCCTTACCTATACTCGGTAATTGACTAATATACTTGAATTCTCATCTATAAAGCCCAAAGATGTATCTCTAGATTTGATGCAGCAGACCAAGTCGATCTTTTATATCTCCTCTCTAAATCATCGGATTATACAAGTATAGCTTTAGCGTATCCACAACATAATAGGAAAAAATATCTAGCACCTGTATATGACTTAATATCCAATCTAACCTCTCTTAAGTCTCGTAACACCTCATCTATCGAGACGAATATTAATGGGATATGTGATATATTCTTCCTCATCCTAAAATCTCCGAGCATACATTCAACAACCTTGAGTTCTATTTTGACCTGCCCCTCCCCTCCCCCTGCCCTCTTCCTATTTACAAATCATCATCATCATCATCATCATCATCATCATCATCATCATCATCATCATCATCATCATCATCATCATCATCATCATCATCATCATCATCATCATCATCATCATCATCATCATCACCCAGCTCGAATCCCTCTCAATTCCACTCTCAGAATTCTCATTCAAATATATAATTTAAAAAGTAAACCATGATCTCATCTATCCATCCATCCCACCCATTCCAACAACCACAACCAATGTATCCAATAGTCCATACTGCAGTGCAACAACATAAGGCTTTGAATATACATATCAAAAGCAATTAGAAATCTGCAAATCGTTCAACATTCAATCAAATTCAATATCTCACATGATTTGAATATTCTAAATGATTTAGGGATTTGATAGATTTATTGTTGGTGCAGTCCGGACTTTCGAACACTCTGACCACAACTATCTCTTCTCATAAGACACAAAACTCGTCAAACATCATAATTGGAAGGAACGAGGGAAAGCACGCTAGGCGTCAAGTATTTCCTACAGCACTGGCTAAGTCTCACGATCCTCACCTTCCACCTTCAGTTTTCCTTTTCACTAAGTACGTTAATAGAAATATTTCATCGAGTTTATATATACATAGGACAAAGATCTTATATAGTAATCGACCTATCACGAATCCAGTAGCAGCCAAATGGCCTATTTTTCAGAAGAAGGGAACGATAAAGAAAGAAGATGAAGGAGACTCAAGAACAGCAAGAACTTCTTCAAAATGACTGTGAGTCGACTGTCATCTCTTCTAATCCCACTGATGGAATAAAACTCACTAGCTCCCAGACAAAGAACTCTCACTCGGATAATTTCAAAGAAGAAAATGCAACCTATTGGGGACTCTGAGAAGAAGGATTCAAAAGATGTTTTACGCAATAATGGTAAAAATGTGGTATTGTTGAAAACAAAGGTACGTCCTGTTACCAACGATATTCAATCAAGTTGGCTAATCGCTGGGTGTCGAAACTAGAATTCGAAGAAGACGATATAAGGCCATGATATCGATGATCGAAAGCGAGAAGATTGCACACAGAGCTAAACGTGTTATTGTGCAACAAAAAGTGTAGCAAAATGAAGTGAAGAAAAGAAAGAAGCAGACTTGCAACATCGAAGAGAGATGAATCGCGAGAAGGCAAAGATTAGAACAGAAGAGGAATGGCAAGAATGAAGAGATTACGCAAATGGCTGTAAAGCGGCCGAGAGAGACAAAGTAATCTGGTTGATAAACTCGGTGGTGATTACGAGCAGAGAATGGTTAAAATTTGGGGTTAGAATGCAGTTATTGTGGAGAGGTTTGGAAGTTATGGAGTTGTAGATGATGGAAATGTATGTATGAGGAAACCACAATATACATGATGCAGGTCATAATCACACACAACCACGACTATCGAGCCCGGGGAGAGAATAAGAACAATAACGAAAACAGACATACCTCCAGTAACAACCCGCTTAGTACAAACATTCATCACAATCCTCTTCTCCTTCTTCATCCCCATCCCCATCCTCATTCCCATCCCTATTCCTATCCCCCTCCCCATCCCCACCACAGCCCTCCAATCCAACCTCCACCTCACCACCTCATACCCCAACGCCAAAGCCCTTGCAGGACTTCTCCGTATCTCCATATCTCTCCATAGGTAGCCTTCTATTTAGAACGATATCGGAATTTGAATAAACACCGATGCTACACGCAGGAAAAAAGAACAACAACAACAACAATAACAAAGGTATACATACATACATACATATCCAATAAAGAAACGAGGAGTAAGTTCAAGACGAGCCATTCCTCGAGTCATTTGGCGAGAGGATAGGATAGGATAGGATAGCAAAACAGAAGATAAATGATAAATATAAAGAAGAGAGAGAGAGAGAGAGAGAGAGAGAGAGAGAGAGAGAGAGAGAGAGAGAGAGAGAGAGAGACATACATACATCCTAGCTCCCCGCCTCAAAAAACCATCAGACAAGCGGATCACCCACCCGATCAAAAGAAGCGAATACCTACCTACCTACCTAGTACCTCCGGCTGTCTTGGCTCGAACTCCCTTTGAATCGAGTCTAGATCCATCATTCGATATTATAGCCTCACCAAACAACAAAAATGCATCTGATTCATGCAAGCAAAGTAAAACTTTGAATTTCGGATCTTCATTATTCTTTCTTTCTCCGCTTATAAATCATAATTCTTAATGTATTTCTTTCCCGCTTTCCGACTACCATTCCTTCATATCTATTCTCTTCGCTCCTCTTAAAGTGTATTCGCCATTCCATGCATACATACGTACAATCATCCATCCACCCATCCATCCCAAACCCCCCAAAAGATAATAAAAATATAATTCAACGCTCTACTCCCCAACCAACAAACCAACTCACCCATTCATTTTCTTATTCCCACAAAACCCTACCTCTTCAAATCCTTAACCTTAATCTCTCCACCTCCTCTCCCCGTCTTCCCCTTCCCATTCCCATACCCTTCAACCCCCATTTCCCGCATAGCTTGTTCAACCATATGTACAGCCTCTATACATACATCACCACCATTTCTCCAAGCTCTGAGTGTGACACCTTGTCCATCAAGAATATCTTTTGCGCGCTTCCAACGACGTCTCCAGAGATCCAATTTTTTGTTTGCTGGTGCTCCACTGGATGTTCGGTAGAATTCATCATCTGATGAGTCAGGGGAGCTGGAGATTGAAGAATTAATGGTAGATTTTCGACGTGGGAGAGGTGGTGGTCCATTGTTTGATGATGGACTATATGATGGATCGAATGCAGGTTGGGGCCTTGGATTCGATTCACCCATGCCTGGAATATAAGATCTCATTTCTGGAAGATTATTATAGGTCTCTGTAACTTTATGACGAGCACTAGATATGTAACCTTCACTAGATGATTCTGATAACTCCGCACTACTTTGTGCCTGCTTCAATGGGTGATTATTTACACTTCCATGTATGGCACCTGAACGACGAGGTTTTGGTGGTGGTGGTGGAGTGTTTTGCTTTGGGGGTTCGGATGATTCAGGTGGAACCATTGTGATTGTACTTGCTCCACGAAGGGATAATGGCTTAGAAGGTCGAGGTGGAGCTTTCCCATCATTGGCGGATTTTCGTCGTGGAACATTTGGTACTTCCATCTCTGACATAGATCGAGGTACCACTTGCCTATGAGATTTATGTATTGGCTCATTCTCAGGCTCATCTCCGAAATCAATTAGTGTTCCCATGGTTGGACCATTACTAGTCTGGAGTTTAGTTTCCGAGGGAACTCTGGGAGGCAAAGATGGTCGTTTCTCTGATAGCTCGGATTTACTAAATGTAGATGATCTCCTGCTATCAATGGATTGCGTCCGAGATTGCGTTCGAGATTGAGGTTCAAACTTTCGACGGTCTCCACTGAGTGGACCCAATGCAGGATCAAAGAAACCTATATCTTCAGGTGTCGTGACATCTCTGATAAAGATACCCAGGATTTTTCCCGGATTTGCTAAAACGACATCGGTATAGACTTCTAAATCTGCTTCACCACTATCTCCAATTAAAATGAATTTCCTTTCTGAAAAATCTCGCATGATCTTCTCAAGGGTACCCTTCTTTCTTTCCGCAACAGGTTCAAAAATACCCTGAAGCATTCCGCTATATTGTTTTAGGTGATAAGATCCAGGTGGTAGCCCTGCTTTTCTGAAAAAGCTCACTAAAACTGGAAATAATTGCCAAGGTGAATTGGATACATAGTGTACCCCAACACCCATATCATACATTGTATTATACCATTCCCTGACACCTTCGATTGTGAGATCAGCAAATTCACGAATGAAGACATTTCTGAAAATCTCTCTTGATCCTGCACCAATCGAAGAGTGCTTGATTGTATCGTCAACATCAGTAATGAGGCTCACTCCTTTTGGTTCAGTAATCTTGACTTCTTCAATCGCTGAAAGGTTTTCTGAAGCCAACACTCTAACGTGTGTGGGAACAAACTCCAAAGCGGCTCGCATAATGAAATGACCTGCTTCATTTGTTTCTATTGTTCGCGATGAAGAATTCTTCTCGTCGTAAAAGAAAACCGTAATCGCTGTTTCAACCTTTGGATTCGTAAGGAATGGTCTTAATCGTGCCATCAAATGAGCATTTGCTGTTAATAGTTCCGCTTGGGTCATCTCGGATGGTTGATTCCATGATGTACGTTTTGTTAGACGACTTGGAGCAGGTGATGACTCTGGCGATACCCGTGAACTGGAACCCCGCTGCCTACCGCGTTCACTATAGATACTATCACCATCTGATTCCCGTTTTGGCTTTTCACTATAGTCACCCCGTAGTGCTGCCTCCTCTTCCCCTCGACCCTTTTTCAGTATTTGTTCTGCTTCTCGGGCAATCTTCTCCTCATCACGCCTCTGTTCGAGCTCTCTATGCTTTGCTCTTAATGAATTTGAATCCGGACTAGTCTCTCGAGAACCAGATTTTGGTGCAGGAATCCCACTCAACTGGCGTGCAAGACCAATGAGTAACCTATTCTTTCTTGTCATAGGTCCTCTATGGGGAGAGTAAAGCCATCCTCTAACATCCACATCAACTATAGCCCTATCATCCTCATATTTTTGCCATTCCCTCGCCCAATATTCCGCATCTCCGGGTTCGTTCAATTTAGGATTCATGTTGGCATTTTCAAAAAAAGGTTTCTCCTTGGTATGTCTCCGCGCATATGACGGAAATAATATCATTTGCTCATCACCGTGAGAAACAATAGATACATCCGGAAATGAACCTGGTATTCCATGTTCATCATCATCCAATCCACTACCCCCACCCCATTTCTCAGAGTATGATTGTTGATACGATTGACGAAGTTCGTTTGCAGCTTTCAAATACCCAGCCAATTTCCCCCTCTTTCCCCCTCGTTTTTTATCCTCCCCATATCCATCTGCGACATAGCCAGACATCGAATGAGATGATGGGTTCAGCTTTCTAGAAGCCGTCGCATTGTCTTTGGAACCGCCACCGAAGAATCCTCTCACTGATCTTCCAAGGATTTGAAAGGCAGTTTTCCCAGCAGCTCTCTTTCTCTTTCGGTTCAACTGAGTCCTAACTATGTAATTATAGATTCGTGATTGTGCGCCAAGTTTGTAGGATGGGAATGTTTCGAATCTGAACTTTGCAAAGCGCTGGCGGATAGTCAGCCGAGAATGTGGGAATAGGTATCGGAAAAGTGATGTCCTACGATCAGAATTACCCGGTCGACGAAATGAAGGAGGAGCCACGATAAATGTGCGAGACTGTCAGCCTGAATGATGTTGAGTGCTGTGGAGACGTTCCAGTCCTTTTATCTAGTTGGGTGGGTGTTAAAAGGAACAAGCTAATAATAAATAGCAAACCCAAGCCAGCCTGCTGATTATTTATGTTATGATCTGACAATACTCGTACTTACTGGGGTTATGACGAAAAACAAGGGCTGAGATTTTAATCAAGTGTTTTTCATTGTTTTTCATTGTATTTCATTGTATGGTAGGAGTGAATAATTAAACATTGATGATGATGAACTCGGAATTATAAAGTTTAGGAAGCAAAGGTACCAGTCAAGCCAGTGTCAAATGATGTGCCAAGAGCCATCCAGATGGAAATTTGGGAATTTGACTTGCTTACCTATGATATGAAGGTACCTAGGTACCTACTCCGTATCCAGCAGAGCAGATACTTGGCTCTTTGGGTCTCCATGGATTTCATAGGAATTACATCCTACGTCACTTTGGGGAAAGGCGGTGCACCCTGTCCTGTCCAGCCCAGCCCTACAATAAAAATAAGGTTAACAGATTTATTATGGTATGAGTGAGGTAAATTTACTACCAAGCTACAAAGGTATGTAAGATACAAAGCTATGTATTAAGATATGTATTTAAGGTGTGTAACAATGACAATAAAGTGATAAATGTGATATATATAATATATAGGTAAATATTATATATAGGTAAATACATCTATCTACATGAATACCTCGAGAATACCACATATCATCTACTACCGTATCATGTGCATATCCAGTATAGACAGAATAAACAAATAAATGTGAAACTTTCTCACTTGCAACCTTTACAGAGAAACAAATACACCATCAAATCTAGAATCGATCGTCTGCGTGTGTGAGACACGTAGTCTCGGAATCTGAATTGTATTGATTTCTTAAAATACATAGTCATCTATGTAGTCATGTCATTGGAAAATGACCCAGACTAATTCCCGCTGCATCTTTCAACCAATGCTTGCTGTCGTGTCATTTTCACTTGACAAACTCCCCCCTTTCCCTCAACCCTCAATAACAAAGTGAAGCAATAGCCTCTAAAAGAACGCCGGTGCCGGATTATTTTCAGGAGGATCTGCCCTTTCAATTTGCCTCAACACTGTACCCAGGCCTGAATGTGAATTTTCATTATTACGGCTCTACCCCGAAGGAACATCAAGGAAGTAGGTGATACTTAAAGATTTATTTAATGAAATGAATGAATGAATGAATGAATGAATGAATATGTTGATGCGAACTGCCTCAGGTCAGTAAGTTATTAAGTTGGTCGTTTTTCCGGTTTTTTTTCTTCTTTTCAAATCTGATTATATGATCGCAACGATCAAAAGCTAATGTAGAGCAAGCCTGTCGTTAGATACCATCAATGATAGTAGAGTAAGAGAGGATATGGTTCCGCACTGAATCGTTATCCAGCAGCAACTACCTGCCGTCTCTTTGTGGATGCATTTTCAACGTCCTAAATAAAGTGTTAGCAATGCTTGGAATTCATTCGAGAAAAATCCCAATCAAAAAACGAGATCTTCCGCCTTTAACCTTGGGCCATATCCCGAACGAGGGATTGGCTTTAACATACATCTGCTGAAGAACGCTTCTTTTTCTTTTGAGAACGAGTTGGCTTGACCTCGCCTTCAGTAAAGACATCGTCTGGAAGGTCGCAGCTATGGATTATGAATCAGCATTTCACATCATCTAATGCAACAAAGGGGCACAAACTTTCGAGTGTTAACGACAGATAAAGTATTAAGCTCTTCGTTATACTTCTCCCAACCTCTACACACTCGCTTGAACTCATCAACACACCATGCAAGGTCGAGCGATTTAGCGCCTAAGATTGTTAGTAGCTGGGCCTCGGAACATATCATAGAAGCTTGTAATTAGAATGCATATTCCAAATACCATAATCGTGATAACAGTAAGATCGCTCATAAAATGTGAGGTGATGGTGGTGCACTTACCTTCGCGAAGCTCGAGGCCGATGTAAAATGTTGTTGTGTGAACGAATGATTCCTTTTTCTCGGGTTCGGATTTTGGTGCATCTCCATTCTCATTCTTGACTTCCCCAGTCTGGTCCTTTACCGCAATTCCTAAATCTGTATCATGAGATGGGTCCGTAGTCACTGCCGGGATTTCTTTGATCTGGTATTGTAGATTGCCTTCTTTTACCGCTTCGATTTCGTCCTCGGAACTGCATTTGTGAACTCGTTCGAATCCCTTGTTGAATGGATGTGCCAGCGCAATTGATTCGTGGTTTTCTACATTAGCAACTAAAAGTCTAACTTTTGATTCAACCAAACCAGACCATATAAGTTGAGCGTCCTTTGTAGTACTGGCGGAAATGACGGAGAGGTAGTATTTGTAGTTTTTGGTGAAAAATGTGTGCTTGACGAATAAGTCTTTCCAAGATGCCTTGCCCATCATGATTCTATCCGTGATATTTCCTCCACGAGCAAGTTCTCGACAGATGATCTCTTTGTTTGACTTTGTTATGTTATGAGTAGCGCACATGGAGGGGTATGAAGGAGTAATAATTGGCATGAGATGGTAACCGTCGCCTTTATAAACCTATCAAAGTCAGTTAAACCCGAGTATGTTGCACAAGAAAAACTTACTCTTGGATTCCAGACACGAACATTAAGCTTACCACCTTTAATTGCCTGTAGTAAGACTGGTTGCGGCCACTGCCACTGAGACATGATACGGAAAAACTTGAGGATGACTGTAGAAGCGGTTGCTTGTGGATATAATTGACATACTCTAGCCACCAGCATAGCCCAGGCGACACCTCCAGGAAAACCCATAATGTTGGCATAGATAGCTCTTCTCTGCGCCCAAAGTTTAACTCCCCTCAGGGCAGTTCTGAATACTGCCTTTTCCGGTACCAGATTCAAAATATCATCGGTAACTCGCGTTCCATTCAAAGAGCGTAAACCGGCTTCATCCAAGCCCGCTAATAAGTTGTCGTCGTTCAAGCTTAGGGACCTTGAAATTTGAGAAAGTACTTCGATACGCGCAAAGATCAAATCGATGCTGATGCCTGAATATTCAAACTTAATAATTGGGACGAAGGCTTCTGGAACAGGCGCTAGGTCTGTAATAGCTCCCTCTGGCGCCATTTCAACGAGAAGATCTGGAAAAAGTTCGAAATATTCTTCACGGGAAACGTTTTTGGGTACGACAACCAGAGTATCGATATCAGAGCCAGGTCCATATACACCGAGTCGAAAACTGCCATATGTAAAGATCCTACCGCCGGCACTATTGACGATATTCTCCGGTAGGTTTTGCTTTCTGCAAACTCGTTTCACAAACTCTTCGGTGATGGATTGTAAAGAAGCAAGGACGGCGGATCTGCGCAAAAAGGATGTCAGTAATGAAATAGAATAGATAAGAATGAAGCAAGATGTTCCGAGATATGATTGATCTGCGGATTCTGTAAAAAACAGATAATAATCGCAATCACGTACCTTTTTTCGGTATCAGCGCGGCTCTCAAAGAGATTCTCTTTTGTCATTTCTTCAATCAGCGCATCAGTTGCTTGCTTCTCAGCATCTGTTGGAAGCGCGGTAGATAAAGGCGGAGTGATGCCCAATTGTCTGGGGGCTGCAGTTGCCATTTTGATGAAGATACCGAGACTGAAAGCTTTGAGCTGGCTTCCAAGGCTGTCGAGATGAACAGCTTAAAATTAATGTTGGTATCAATGTTTGGTTGTTTGGTTGTCTGGTTGAAGAAGATAAATAGAAAGTCAAACACCGGCGCGACCATAAATTGGTCTACCATCGTGCATAAGCGAACTATTTATTTTAGGTTCACTTTGAAAGCTTCACCCCCACTTGTACCATGAGCAACGGGAACTTGAATAGTTTCCATGTGCCTAACTAAGCAGTGAATAATACTGTACGCCGTACCTTCATTTCGTTCACTTGATGAAGATCTTAATTCTCTAATATCTCTAAACTTTATCCTCTTTGATATAAACAATTATCTAAGGTTTATGAAGAGATTGAATATACGCGATGGCCGATTCTAATAATGCTTGGGAGGGCAACGAGGAAACTCAAAATGATCCGGATGAGAAGAGAGTTCTTCATCAAGCCTTGGATTCTTTCTAGTAAGGATAGTTTTATTTGGTGACGGCATCTTCGAGTCCGATAAGAAGAGGAGATCCGGCTAGAATCGTAACACCACCTGATTCATGGGACTATCAAGCGAGTTCTATCTGTGTCATGTTAGGGGGGACCTGTACGTGCTCGGTGAGCATGGGAGGCGAAGGAATATAACATATGCATGCTCATTGATATAGACATATGTCTCTTCTCTTTACCACATAAATACATGTACTCTTATTGACATACACACTAGCCACTACCAAAAGACCGCTCACTACAACACCACTCATCTACGAAGACAAGCCTTCTACGCCTTACCTCGAGCTCACTGGGAACTTCTCGCATCACCACCCATTAACTATCTAGATACCTTAATAGCCGTCGACGACGCTATAGATCAAAATGCCGAACTCTCAGAAGCGATCTTATCAGCGGCCCTTCCATCCTTCAACCTTCCCTATCCCTCTTCAAACTTCAACCCTTCCACTAAATCTCCCGATGATTTCCGAGGTACAGCAACCTCGGGTGATCTCGAAAAAGC